GTGTGGGGCTGGGGATTTGGGGGGACAGAAGAGCGGACGGGTGTGGGGCTGGGGATTTGGGGGAGACAGAAGAGCGGAGGAGCGCAGGGCTGGGGATTTGGGGGGACAGGAGAGCGGAGGAGCGCGGGGCTGTGGGTTTGGGGGGATGGGAGAATGTGAGATAAGCAGTGGAGATGGAGGACTGTGTCAGTGGAGGTATGGATCAGGTTCAGGAAACAGGTTGGGGAGATTGTGGGGCTGCTGGGAAGACAAGGGGGTGGGGAACTGTGGGCTGCGGGGAGACGCCCTCACCTCACCTGGGGGGTCGTAGGCAGCCAGGGCCATCAGAGCGCAGGAGACAGCAAAGCTGAAACTACAGGGGCACAGGGCAGTAATGAGCACTCCCAGCCTATGGGCCCCTCCCCAACCCTGGGATCCCTCCATTCCCATGGACATCTCCCCCAGTGCCCACACCTTGAGATCTAGCCATTCTACACGTATCCCTGAGGCCCCCACCCCCACAGGACTCAGCCCCCACCATGGGCACCTCCGGCACCCCCCACCTTGGGACATCCCCAGTGGACATCTCCCCCTCCCTTTACCTTGTCCCCGCACCTTCCCAGACACCTCTCCCATCTTAGGACCCAGCCCTGTTTGCTCAGGGCCACAGCTTCCAATCCATGGCCCCCATCCCATCTCCACACAACCCCTACTCCCCCCGGGGGTTCCTGACCCCCGGGCCGCCCCGCACCTGCCGAGGAGGCGGAGGGGCCGGGGCCCCAGACGGTCCATGAGCACCCCCAGGGGCAGGGTGGCGGCGCTCAGCAGGAAGGACCCGATGGTGAAGCCCAGGTTCAGCATCTCCTCCTGCTCCACGCAGCTAGGCCAGTGGTGGGGGGGAAGCCCCAGAGCCGAGCCATTGGTCCTGTTTTCACCTGGGGACATTCGCAGCGTCAGACCCTCCCCAGCCCCGGGGGGAGACTCCCACCCTGACCTCCCTTGCCCCGGGGGCCGTACCCACCTCTCACTCCATGGCTGGGCAGGGGCCCACGGGAGAAGCTATTGGGGGAGCAGAGAGTCTCGTCAGGGAGCAAGGAGGCTCATGGAGGGCAGGGAAGCTCTCAGTGGGGGAACAGGGGTCCCATGGGGGTGAGGTTGGTCCCATGGGAGAGCAGGAGGCAAGAGATTTCATGGGATTCAAGCAGGGCTCTCAGTGGGGGGTCTCACTAGGGGTTGAGGGGGCCCCATGGAGGACAGGGGGCAAAGGAGGAGCAGGGGGCTCTCAGTGGAGGGTCAGGGTTCCCATGGGGGGACAGGAGGCAAGGGAGAGGAGGGGACTGTCAGGGGGAGGGTCGGGGTTCCTGTGATAGGTAAAGTTGGGGGGTAGCTCCCTTGGATGGACACCCAGCCAGCCAGTTAGCTGTAAAATCCCTCTTGGTAGCTGTTCTTTACTTGCTTTACCTGCAAAAGGTTAAAAAGTCCCCCAGGTAAAGAGGGAAGAAAGTGGGCACCTGACCAAAAGAGCCAATGGGAAGGTAGAACTTTTTTAAATTGGGAAAGAAACTTTGCCTTTGTCTGTTGTTCTCTGGGCTGGAGGGACAGAGCAGCTGTGCTATCAGCAGCTAAGCCAGGTATGATCACAAATCATCAGGTCACGCCTAGAACTACTTCTCTGAACTCCACATGTGTAAGTAGATCAGAGTGTTTAGCTAGATGCGATCAGGTTATTTTCTTCCTTTTGGCTTGTGGATCTCCTCTGTGCTAATCCCGGATGCTTTTGTTTGCTTGAAACCTTTAAGCTGAACCCCCAAGAAAGCTGTTTTGGGTGCTTGATTTGTATACTTGTTTCTTTTAAGATCTAGCAAAAAGCCTAAGTTCCAGATGTAATTTTTTTCCCTTTTTGTTTTTAATAAAATGTACCTGGTTTAAGAACAGGATTGGATTTTTGGTGTCCAAAAAAGTTTGTGCAGGTTGTTTAATTAGCTGGTAGCCACAGCTAATTTCCTTTGTTTTCTTTCTCAGCTCTTCCCCGGAGTGGGGGTGAAAGGGCTTGAGGGTGCCCCACAGGGAGGAATTCCCAAGTGCTCCTTCCTGGGTTCAAAGGGGGGTTTTGCATTTGGGTGGTGGCAGCATTTACCAAGCCAAGGTCAGAGAAAAGCTGTAATCTTGGGAGTTTAATACAAGCCTGGAGTGGCCAATATTAATTTTTAAAATCCATGCGGGCCCCCATTTCTGCCAGGGGTGGCTCCAGGCACCAGCGCACCAAGCACGTGCCTGGGGCGGCAAGCCGCGGGGGGCAGCCTGCCAGTCGCCGTGAGGGCAGCAGTTCGGCGGAATGCCTGCTGGAAGTCCGCCAGTCCCGCGGCTTCGGCGGCGGCTAGCCGCGGGATCGGTGAACCTCCTGCAGGCATGCCGCCGAATCCACGTTACCAGCGGACTTCCCGCAGGCCAAAAGCCACCTGCCTGCCGTGCTTGGGGCAGCAAAAAACATAGAGCTGCCCCTGATTTCTGCACTCGGAGTGACAGAGTGGGGATTCAGCCTTGACCGTTCCCATGGGGGGACAGGAGGCAAGGGGGGATGGGAGGGGCAGGGGTTCCCATGCGGGGAGCGGGATCCCATTGGGGGCAGGGGTGAGGCAGAGGAGTCCCTGAGGGTCTCCAGCCTCCCAGCCCTGGCTCAGGAATGCTGTATGGCACCACACCTGGTGGGGTCTGTGCCAAGCGCCGGTCTCGCTGTCACCCTGTCCATGGGCATGCTGCAGCCCCATGGGGTGGGTGTCAGGGGGGCCAAGGCAGGATGAGTCCCAGCACAGCCTGGCACGGGGCAGACGGGTACATCAGTGCCCGGGGCCCGCTGAGGGGGGCCTGGCCCTAAGCAGTTGGGGTTGGTGGGAGGCGCCAATGGCATGGTGCCCGTCAATCTCCCACAGGTCCGTCTGTCCCTCTCCAGGCTGTGTGTGGCTGGCTGTCTCTCGTGGCAGGCAGAGCGACCCAGACCCTGTCAGACCCATCCACTCCGCAGGGCCTGTCCCACCCACTTGGGACGAGGGGCCAGGACCAGCCTGGCTGATCTGGGGAGGAACCCAGCTCTGTGGAGCCTCTGCAGGGTCTGAGCCCTGGCCATGCCCCAGATACACCCACATTCCCACACGTGCCCATTCCAACATCTTCCCGTGGCTCCACCCACCCCATCTCAGGCTCCACCCCTCCCCTGCTTGGCCACGCCCCTCCTAATATCGGCTCATCCCCTGATTGCCCACTCCCATTACTTCCCTTTGCCCTCCACGCCTCATATCACCCCCCACCCTTCTCCTGCTTGGCCCCTCCCATGTTATTGTCCTTCCCCTTTCATGTTTGGCCCCTCCCACTTTCTCTTTGATCTTCCCCTCTCCTCTCCAGCTTGGTCCCTCCCACTCTCTCTGTGCCCCGCCCTTCTCACCTGTGCACATGTTAGAGTAGAAGCCTTCATGCTTGAGCATGATAAGCAGGGAGCCCCAGCCCAGCAGCACGGCGGAGAAGAAGAGGTTCTCCAGGATGGCGGTGCACGCCATCCACCAGCGCCGATGGTACGCCTGCTGCAGCGTCAGCGCCATCCCGGCTCCACGGGCTGGGGACACAGAGCGACTGGCTCATTCTTTGCCCCTCCCATCTCCTGCTTGCCCCCTCCCACTTTCTCTCCTTGCCCCTCCCCTCTCTAAATAAATGGCAAAGCATAGGAGGGTGGGGCTGCAGGGATCTGGTCTTATTTAACCTCTGCCATACCAGTCTGGAAGAGGGAGTAAACAGCACAGTATCCATCTGTCTTAGAGACTTACCTGGCCCATTGTGTCTCAGCCCCTCAATGCCTTTGTATCCTCACACAGACCAGCCAATTATCCCTATTGTACAGATGAGGAAACTGAGGCACGGAAAGGCCAAGTGACCTGCCCCAGGTCTGTGGCAGAGCAAGGCACTGAATCGAGGTCTACCCAGTCCCAGGCTAGCACCCTAACCCCTGGGCCATCCTTCCTCCTATTGAAAGTCACAGATGCTACGAGTGAGGCCGGGGAAACACCCACCAGGGCCGGGAGAGCTAGTCCACCTGGGCAGGAAATGGAGACTGACTGTTTTTCTAGATCTGCTCTAGCTCCGCCGTGTTTGCAGGGTCACAGTAGCTGTGCTGGTCTCTGTAGAGCTGGAAAACTGGACAGAAGTCGGTCCAATGAGCGGGGTTACCTCACCCACCTGGTCTCGCTCTCGTTCAAACACGAACTCGGTCAGGGCAGCTGGAGGTCAGACGAGCTGGTCGCAGTGGGCTGGGCTGGCCTTGGGATCTGTGACTCTCTGAAATACCAACACGGGATTTCACATGGGAAAGCCAGTGCTTGATTTGTAACGAAAGAGGTGCCGGGGCTCAAGCAATTGTTTTGCTTTCTTAACTGACAAGGCAAACTCAGAGGTGCGATGTGGGGGCTATGAACTGCCAAGCCCAGCGATACGGGGGCCATGAACTGCCAAGCCCAGCGATGCGGGGGCTATGAACTGCCAAGCCCAGCGATGCGGGGGCTATGAACTGCCAAGCCCAGCGATACGGGGGCCATGAACTGCCAAGCCCAGCGATGTGGGGGGCCATGAACTGCCAAGCCCGAAGGTGCCAGGGCACAAATTAAGCACTGGGGGAAATTGAGCTCTGGCACAAATTAAGCACTGAGGAAAGCGACAGCCAATCCAGCTGGAGCAACCTGATCCCAGAGCCAGGCGCCCCCCCGCCGGGGCTGGGGGCAGAGACTGTGAAGGAGACCAAGGTGGGGGAGTGGGGCAGCGCTCCCTGAAATGAGGCACAAGTTTGGAAGCTGGAGTGAAGGGGCCGGAGCGACATGGGGCTGGAAACCACACCATCCCGCCCAGGCTTGCCCTTGGCCCGGGGCTGATCCTACACGGGGCTCATTTCCAAGGGGAGATAAAATGTTTGGGGCTCTGTTGAGTTTGCAAAGCTCCAAAGGTGGGATGAGAGAAGGTTAAGAAAGAGGAATTTAGGGGGGGAAATGGTTTCAAAAGGGAATAGCCCCCCGGGGGAAGGGCCAGGGGCCCCACTGCTCCCTCACAGGGGGATGGTCCAGCCAAAGATTTGTGCCCTGGGGGAAGATCAGCCCCGAGGGGCTTGCCCTGCCCCTGCGCTGTCCCACGACCCCCTGGCGGGAGTGGAGGTACTGGGCCGCAGCTGCCAGGATTCTCATGTCAGGCTTCTCTGACAGCTGACAGCACTCTGGGGTACCCCCATCGCAGGAGTCTCCCCTCCAGAGCCCCCATCCCTCCAACGTCCCAGCTCCGTAATCCACTCAAGCCCCCTCTCCAGCATGGCCTCCCCCCACCCAGCAGCCTCCGCAAGTCCCCCTCACCTTCGCTTCCTGCTCCAGCACAGCCAGCCACATGGCCCTGCCCCTCCCCAAAAATAGCCCAGAATCAATACAGGGCTGGGCTGCGCCTGGCCTGGCTGCCCTGCCACGTGGGCTGCACAACGATCGCTTTGCCCCAGTCACACACGTGTGACACACTCCAGTTCCCTTGGCCCAGCTGGCCCCGTCCCCAGCCACCGCTCCCCCTTGGCAGCTCTCCCCCAAACTTACCCTCCTGGCGAAAGGGGTCTGGGCCGGGGGCTCGGTGATCCGGAGGCAAGGAGAGATCAAGCAAACTCTCCCTCTGCCTCAAGCCACTGGCTAAGCAGTTTGTTTTTTTGCCTGCTGTTTGCCAACAGCTGGGGTTATAAACGGCTGAGCGGGAGTTGAAGAGCGCTTGTGTGTGCAGTGCAGGAAGTGAAAAGAGCATGTGTAGTCTGCTTTATAAGGGCATCAACTCTGAATGTATGTGCGAGAGAGAGAGAGAGCCAGGAGAGGGATATGAAGAATAAGGAAATATGAAGGAGCTAAAGAGGCAAAGAACAAAATAAAGGGGGAATGGAAGAATGAATAAAAGAATGAACAAGTTAAAGAAAGACTGAAAGAACGAATGAGCAAAGAAAGAGTGAATTAAAGAAAGACCAAATTAAAAAAAGAACAGGCAAAAAGTGAATTGAAGGAGGAAATAAACAATCAGTGAAAGAATTAAAGAAAGAATGAAAGACGGAAGAAATGAAAGAATAAACTAAAGAAGGAAAGAGAGTGAGTTACAAAAAGAATGAAAGAAAGAACGAACTGAAGAAGGAAAGAATGTATGAGTGAAAAAATGAATTAAAGAAAGAACCAGCAACAAAGAACAAATTGAAGGAGGAAACACAGAATGAGCAAAAGAATTACAGAATGAATGAAAGAGAAGAAATGAAAGAACAAACTAAAGAAGGAAAGGATGAGTGAAAAAGAATGAATTCAAGAAAAAACAAGCCAAAAACGAATTGGAGGAAATTCAGTGTTGATAAATGCAAAATAATGCACATTGTATGTAGAGTTGAGATTATGTTTTCCAAAATGATGGGGTCTAAATAAGTTGTTACCACTCGAGGAAGACCTTGGAGTCATCATGGTAGGTCTCCGAAAATATCTGCTCCATGTGAACTGGCAGTCAAAAAAGCGAACAGTGTTAGGAACCGTTAGGAAAGGGGTAGATAATAAGACAGAAAATATCATAATGCTGCTATGTAAATCCATGGCACGGCCACATCTTGAATACTGCAGGCAGCTCTGGTCTCCCCATCTCAAAAAAGATATTAGAATTGGAAAAGGTACAGAGAAGGGTAACAAAAATTATTAGGGGTATGGAACAGCTTCCATATGGGGTGAGATTAAAAAGACTGGGACTGTTCAGCTTAAAAAAGAAACGATTAAGGGGGGACGTGATAGAGGTCTATAGTATCAGGACTGATGTGGAGAAAGTGAATAAGGAAGTGTTCGCATAACATGAGAACCAGGGGTCACCTAAGGAAAGGAAGTATTTTTTCACACAATGCACAGTCAACCTGTGGAAGTCGGTGCCAGGCGATGTTATGAAGGCCAAAACTACAACTGGGTTCAAAAAGGAATTAGGTAAGTTCATGGAGGATAGGCCCATCAATGGCTATTGGCCAAGATGGTCAAGGGTTCAACCCCATGCTGTGGATGTCCCTAGATCTCCAACTGCCAGCAGCTGGGACTGGATGACAGGGGAAGGATCACTTGATAATTGCCCTGTTCTGTTCATTCCCTCTGAAGCACTGAACACTGTTGGACAACAGGACACAGAGATAGATGGGCCGTTGGTCTGACCAAGTCTGGCCATGCTTATGCTCCTGTGAAAGAATTAAAGAATGAACAAAAGACGGAAGAAACAAAATACAGGATGAACTAAAGAAGGAAAGAAAAATGAGTGAAAAATGTTAGAAAAAAACAAAGGAATGAAGGAAAGAACTAAAGAAGGAAAGAATGAACAAGTAAAAAAAAGAATGAAATAAAGAATGAGCAAAACAGAAAAGGAATTAAAGAAGGAAAGAAAGAACCAAGTGAAAGATGGAATAAATGAAAGAAAGAAGGATTAAGGAAAGAAAGCAAAGGAAAAAGAAATGAGTGAGAAAAAGAATTAAAGAATGAACTATAGAAATAAAAGAATGCATTAGAGAAGGAAAGAAAGAACAAATTAAAAGGAGAAAGAAAGAAAGAAAGAAAGAAAAAGAAAGAAAGAGTGATGGAAAGGAAAGAATGAACTGAAAAAAGGAGTGAGAGAAGGAAGGAGTGGTTAGAGGAGAGAGACTGGGAGAGAGCAGAGGGAGAAGGATGTGGGGAAGAACAGAGTGGAGATTCCAAATGGGACAGAAGAGAAGAGAAGAAAGTGGGGCAGGGAGAACAGAGGAAAAGACCAGGTTGGCTGGAGCATATACTGGCAGCAGGCGGATCTCACTAGTGTGGGTTGCCCTTGAGAAGCATCAGGATCACACTGGGGGGGGGGGTGTCTCACTCTTCCCTTTATGTCTCCCACAGCCCCCTGGTGCAGTTGGAGCCCTCCCCCCTCCCAGTTTCTCATTGGCCACTGACCAGCCTTTAGCTGCTGTGATGAGTCCAGCTGCGCAAACACAAGCTACAGCTCAACCTTTAACTCCCCGGGTGCCACCCACAGGTGCCCCCTCCCCTGGCCGGCCTGTGTGGTTGTGCTGCATGTGCACATTCATGTGTGTGTATAGCTGTGCATGTGATTGTGTGTGTGTACGTATGGTTGTGCATGGAGAGTGGGTGTGTGTGTGGTTGTGCACGGTGGGTGGTTGTACATGGTGTTTATGTGTAAACATGCATATGTGGCTTTGTGTGTGAGGTTGTGCATGTGCAGCTGTGCCTGGTGTGGTTGTGGTAGCCTGTATGTGGCTGTGCAAGGTGTGTGTCTGTCCCTGTGTAGGTGCATGGGGTATCTGTGGTTGTGTGTGACACCGCATGGTGTGTGGTTGTGCATGGTGTGTGTCTGTCCCTGTGTGATGTGGATCCACAGAATCGGTGCTACACCCCCAGCTTTGGAACAGTCTCTTGGAGGAACCCTTTAGTGTGCCAGACCCCCAAAGGGTCTCACCCTTCCTTAAGGGCAGGCCATTGGGCCTCACCGCCTCCTGTGACTGACCGTCCTGCCTCACCCTGTGAGCTCAGTTCAGTAAGCCCAGCTGGGACAGACTCCCGGCACAGACTTAATGCCCCTCATTACGTATTTGTGGTGACACTCAGTGTTGTCAAAACAGCCGGGTTCAGCAGTCAGCTGCACAGGAGGGCCGTAGGTGAGCACAGAGAAATGAAGGTTAAAGCCCGGCCCAAGTCCGTCCTGCTCCGCCCAGAGCCCAGCCAAGCTGCGGTGAACACCTCTGTTCAGGCTCTGTCTCAGTCTGACCTCCGTGGTCAGTTCCCAGGTGAGAGCCCCGACTCCTTCCCACAGCCAGCTCCTAACCCCACCTTCCCAGCCCTTTGTTCTCCAGCTGGGGGGTTTGCTCAGCCTCCCTGCTGAGCGGTGGGGAAATCCATTCCCCTCTGGGGCACAGGCTGCTAGGTGTCCGTGTCCTGGTGAGTGGATTTGCTGTCTTAGGGGGCCACCCTCAGCCAGTTCTTCCTTTTTAATGACCCACTCAGGCAGCCACATAACATTCACACTGATGTCTCCCAGCCTGTCCAGAGAACAAACTGTCCTTTTTCCCCACTGGGTAACAATGCAACATAAAAGGAGGTGTTTGTGACATTCTATGCCTAGGGGGGAGCGTGCTGTAACCCCCACCTTCCTCATTTTCATATAATCGTGATCTTACGTATAAAAGATGCCTTGTAAGGTATCAGGGGAAAGGTTATGATCTGCTGAAAGTCATTTCTCTATCCATATATGTATATCATTAATGCATATGAAGTGATGAGGATTGTGTAGTATGGTTGTCACCAAAACATGCTGTAAGTTGGGGGAATCAGCCAGATATTAGCTCCCCAGAGGCAACAGCAAGGAAAGTAACCAAGACCCAGGTGGGGTGTCAAACAATCATCAACAACCATTGTCCAGCAAGGGGGCCACAATGCAATGACTCACCTGCATGAGGCCACACCAGTGGCATTGTTCAACCTTGCTTGGAGAGACTCCGAGTAATGCTCACCTGACTCTGAAGGGGGTGGGGGCAAAGCGAAGAGGGAGGAAAGAACATGATAAAAGGAAGAGACGTTTGCCATGCTCTTCCTCTCTCTTCCACCTACATCTACAGCCATCACCACCAAGTGACTGAAGCGCTGATCAAAGGGGAGAGCCTGTCTGAAGAGCAACCAGCCAGCCTGTGGCGAGAAGCATTTAAGTTTGTAAGGGCATTGAAAGTGTTAAGATCAGCTTAGAATGCGTTTTGCTTTTATTTCATTTGACCAACTCTGACTTGTTCTGCTTAGATTTATAACCACTTAAAATCTATCTTTATAGTTAATACATTTGTTTTGTTTATTCTACCTGAAGCAGTGCGTTTGGTTTGAAGCATGTCAGAAACTCCCCTTGGGATAACAAGCCTGGTACATATCAATTTCTTTGTTAAATTGACAAACTTATATAAGCTTGCAACATCCAGCGGGCAGAACTGGACGCTGCAAGACAGAGGTTCCTAGGGTTGTGTCTGGGACTGGAGATATTGGCTAGTGTCATTCGGTTGCACAATCCAAGCAGCTTACATGCCAGAGGCTGTGTGTGAACAGCCCAGGAGTGGGGGTTCTCACAGCAGAGCAGGGTAAGGCTGGCTCCCAGAGTCAAGGACTTGATTGACCTAGCAGATCACCAGTCCAGATAACTCCAGAGGGGAACGTCACCGTGTTTAAGAGCTATAGGGGGTCAGTTCCCCAGTCCTGTGATCAGAGACACTCAAGGGTATTAACTGCAAGGAAACAGGCAGCTGTCCTTCCCAAGACAGCCTGTGGAACTCCCCGCCACTGGATGCCAGAGGGTTAAACGCTGCGGTGGGGTTTGTGAAGGGGTTGGGGAACACTGGCATCATTCCTGCTGTGCCTCCTTCCCTGTTCCTGCCCACGGCTATTGCCCTCCTAGGCCAGCTCCTACACATCCCGGGAGAGAATAACCACAGCCACATGGCTGCCAGTATTGTTATACCAGCACCACCCTCAGAATGGAGAGGTGCCTTACAACAGTACAGCTTAGCCCCCTTCCTCTACAGCAGAGGTCTCTAAACTGTGGGGCACAGCCCCTAGATGTTCGGGGGGGGGGCACAGTGGGCTAGGCCAGCCCCCACAGGGGACAGTGAGGGAGGGCCAGCCAGCCCTGACCTGTCCCCAGCTCCGCTCCTGCCCCACCCCAGCTCCATACCTGACCCCGTCCCCAGCACAAAGGGGAAAAAGGGGTGTGTGCAAACAAGGCTGCTTCTGCTACCACTATGAATGCCCGGTTTGTCTGTC